GGCTTTTTCCTTATCAATTTCATCCTCATACTCACTTCTTTAGGTTACAAAGAAGTCTCCATCAGGAGCATCTAGATGACAGGCACATGAGGTCAGGTCTCTCTAGAATGTTGGATTATGTTCCAGAAATACCAGCCATGTAGTTTAAGTATGTCTTTACCCTGGGGTCTAAAATTTCTTACTTAGCACAGTGTTTTTTTCAGCCTTCAAACATTTTATATAGAAGAGCACTTTCTTCAAAAATTACTGGGAGCCTCCAAATATAAAACAAAAGGAGCTGCTGTGGTTGAAATAGAGTTTAGATTTCTGGTTCTCACCAAGTCCCCTCCCCCAACCCTTGCTCCCTAAGGTGCTCTCTAATGTGCTCCCCACAGTATCTTTGTAGACTCCTTAGGTTCCAAATACCAGTGTGAAAATGAATAGGCAAGATCATTAGTTCCCAAAGTGTGGCCCCAAAGTTAGGATGGGCATCACCAGGAAATGCATATTCTTTTTCTTTTCTTTTTTTGGTCTTTTTGAGACAGGGTCTCCCTGTAGCCCCAGCTGTCCTGGAACTCACTATGTAGATCAGGCTGGCCTTGAACTCACAGAGATCTGCCTGCCTCTGCCTCCTGAGTGCTGGGACCAAAGGTGCAAGCCACCATGCCCGCTTGAGAAATGCATATTTTTAAGATCTCATCCCAGATCTACTAAATCAGAATTTCTGTGGGTGTGACCTGGTAATCAGTGTGTTAACAACTCTTTCTTTTGACTCTGATACTTGTTGAAGAACTTACTAGAATATAATAACCTATTCAGTTGTTATCAGGAAAAACTGTGAGACATAATCCAAGATTAATATTTCTGGGTATTTATCCCAAGCTTCTGTGGAAAGTTGTTTTCCATCCACTAATTGTTTTGTACCTGAATGAGATTATAGATACTCTTGAGGTCCAATTCACAATGGCCTGGGTCCCTTTAAATTGGTTCAATATGTTAGAAATCACTGGAAAGAGTATGGATTCCTATACTCAGTTCATTGTGTGGAAATGATGAAATTCCTTCCATTCTTTTCTTCACAAAATGACTTGAAATCTTAAGTTCATAAATTTATACTGAGCAAAAGAAGCCATACACAAGAGTACATTCTGACCAAGGATAAAGACAGACAACACTAATCCACAATGAACAAAGTCAGGGTAGGTGCCTCTGAGTCACCAGTAATGTTCTATTTCTTAATCTGAATGCTATCATCTACAAGGCTGTGTTCATTTTGTAGAAATTTGTCAAGTTCTAAATTACATGCACACTTTGTCCATTTAATACACTTAAATACAAGTTTTTCAATGGCATTGACCATTTGCAGGGGGTAGGCACACTATTATGAGTACTGGGTAGGCACACTATTATGAGTACTGGGCTATATCCTGTCAGAGGATGTGAGCCTTTACTTCTGGGGTTGTGTGAAACATATAAGGTAAACAGTTCTCAGCACTGGCTCTATTGCAGTATGATGAGACCTGAGGTGTATGGAGGCCACTGTTTTGTGACTGGAAAGACCTTTTGGTTGATGGCATCCTCGATCAGCAATCAGAGAGTGAAGAAGTGAAGCATTTACCAACATAACCTGCAGGCCAGAGACAGTTTCAGCATCTGGATATTCTTGGAAATTGCCAATAGCAGACTTCTGGAACTCCAAGTTAAGCCAAGAAACTACAGGAAGTATGTATAATAGGTGATAATGTAGTACTCCATTCTTTGGTCTCTCATTCAGAGCTCATGAGTTAAGGGCCTCACGTGTAAGCAGCTTTCTAGGTCCAGATCATAAATATACATATAAACTGATTCTTTCTGCTTTGCAATTTATGAGTATACATAGAATTAAAGAATGACCTTAAATTTCACTGGCTTTTACCCCACCTGCTCACACAGGAACACCACCCAAGTAAAATAACCCAGTTGTATCACAAAGTCTCTAGTAGGTCACAGGCCAGTCTATTTTCACCAACTTTCAGAATATTCATATTTTGGGCCTCCTTTGTATACTCTACCCTCAAAGCTGCTTAAGCTCTAGTCATCCCTTCCCTCCCCCACACATATCGCCACTACTGTGCTCAACATGATAACACTGGTGAAGGTTCCAGAGTGCTACCTCCCGATCCTATTGAGGTCCCCAACTTTGGAACTGCCCAGTCACGTACCAGACACACTCATGCCCAAATCTCAATTTGGGCTCTAGGTTAATACATACCTGCAGAATAGATGATGCTCTGAGTCCTGTGGTGGTGTGATCTAAAAGCATGCCCTGAACTACTGTTATATTCCATGACTTAGTTTGGGAGTTGGTGACAAGGAGAGGCATACACAGTACTAGGTTTTGAGGTCAAATGGCTCCCCTGTTGCTGAGGGACAATGTTGTTTTTTTTTCAGATATGGTTGTGGAGTTCAGTCAGGAAATACAAGCCACAGATGCTCTCCCTGGTAGTCTGTGCCTTCTACCAGCAGGGAAAAGGAGTTCAACTTCACTGGTCATCCATCAGTGAGTTCCTCTTGTAACTACTCCTGAGTACAAGGCATTTTAATAGATATCTGTACCCGAAAAGCTCAAAATAAAGAATGTTCTGTTAAGTAATGTAAATGCCATAAAAGACAATGCAGGGCTGTGGAAATGTTCCTGATTAAAGGAAGCTAAAGAAACTTGGCAAACATAACACCTTACCATAGACCAGATCCTCTAATAGGAGCAATGCTATCTATAAAAGGACATTTGTAGGTCAACAGAAAAAAGCTGGAATATGAATGATAGATTAAACACTGTAACAATATTGATGTTTCTGAAGCTATACTACGATAATGTAGAGAGCATGTCTCTTCTTAGGAAATGAAGTGTTTCTGCATGAAGGGTCCTAATGTATGTAATTTATCCACATAGAGTTCAAACACACACAAATGCACATATGGGAATGATAAAGCAAATGGTGTAAAATGTTGATAGGTAAATATAAGCAAAGGGTAAAAGGATGTTTTGGGTATTTTAATTTTGTACCTTTTCTGTAAGTTTGAATTTGTTTCCAAATAAAAATGTTTAAATATGCTAAAGGAAAGTTTATGTGCAAGTCAGAATCGGATGGCACATGTCTGACTGAACTCTGCCTGTGGCAGACATGAGGAATGAAAAGATAGTTATATCTTCCCAGACAGGGTCAACCAATCACATCCCCAAAAGAAGCCAGACACCTTGCTAAGTGGCACCTAAAGTTGCCCATTTCTTTATCTCTCCCATCCAACACAACACTAAAAATAAAAACAAAGTGTTTTCTTCTGAGAACTATGGCCCTGAGTCCTGAAGACCATTCAAGTTATGAAAGGAAGGTGTTTCATTCATCCATTCACTCAGCAAATGTTTTAAGTACCTGCTTATTATGTGCCAGAGACTGTGCCAGGGACAGAGGATGCAGTCCAGGATCCAAAAGGAAATATAATCCCTGTCTTTAAGTGGCCTCAGAAGAACTGGGGGATACAGCTCAGTGGTGGAGGTAGAGTTGCTACCTAGATAGAATATGTAAGGCCCTGAGTTCAATCCCTAGCACCAACACAAACAATAAAAAAAAAAACCTATGAAATCAGTGAGTACCAACAACCACATAAATCTATATTTACAAATGAGTTGACCACTAAGTGGAGTTGGCAAGCCATGGGAGAGCCCAGTCTTTTATTAGAGAAAACGGATCCAAGCCCTGTGCACCTGATCCACCTTGAGTACACTCTCGGAGTTTTCTAGGCAACGGTTACTTTTGTACCCTATTCTGAGGAGAGGATATATGGTGCTTACCCCTTCCTGGGATCACCCATCTGTTTCAGCTTAGCTCCCTGCAGGCTGCTCTGTCCACTGTCAGGATCAGAAAAGGGCCAGCAAGCCATTCTATAAACATCCCTAAGCTGATGGATGAGTGAGTTTTGGCAGTCTTTCTTCCAATTTCTGTCTGTGGGTAAATGTGGCAGCTATACCCACAATGCTTTCTGAAGGCAAAAAACAAAAACAAAAACAAAAAGAAAACAAAAAAAAAAACCCACCAAATACCATTGAGTGAAGCCTGGTAACATACTATCCATGAGAATCCATCACTGGAATGCTGACTCATGAGAACAATGTGGTTATCTTCCAAATGGGTAGAATGTGACACTTCTAGTTTTCCCCCACCCCCAATCTAAGGTGTGACACTGACCCACTATGATACCTTATACATAAGAGTGGCGTCCACTGCCTTGGAGCTCCAAGTAGACACTGCCGGGAAGAAAGTTCTTAAGATTGTGCACGTGTGTGACTGCATGTGCTGAGACATGTCATTTCTGTCCACGGGTCTCAGGTGGGACTGACACTCACCTCTGATACAGTTCAAAGGCCCAGTTCAAAGAAGTTTCAGATTCGGATCCAACAAATGTTTACTGAGTCCCTACAAACTTCCAAGCCTTTTACTTTATACTTTGACACATTTTATATCATTTAATCTTTAACAACAACCCTTTAAGGTAGAAATTATCTGCATTTTACAGATGAGAAAACAATCGCAAAGAGTTTCACTGATTTGCTCAAGTATATCATACAGGTTTTTTTTTTTAACACTCACACACTACACTGTCAGCTGAGGCCTGTCTGTGTTGATTGCTTATCTTATAGCATTTCTTGCCTTTTCTACTTTAGGAGCGGCTGCTCCAATTACACAAGCCCCCACATATCTTCTCCTTTCACTAGCCCATGTGGGCTTTTCTTTTTTAATACTGCACAAAAATCACGAATACAAAGAAACTGGCAAAGGTGTTTGTCAATGAGATATCCCTGTCTCCTCCACTTTTCTGCATTCATACCCATGTACAGAATGGGCTACATTTTAATAAACATTTCCTTCCCCCTCCAAAACGTGTAACTGTTATGTGATTGGTCAATTGAAGCTGAAACACCCATGGAGAAAGATGTTTTACGGTTACAAGGGCACACCCCCCCACGTACCACCCCCCCTCCCCCCACACCTTCCCACACAACCTTTCGGAGGAATATAGGATATGAACCAGTGTCTCGATTTTCCCTCTTCTGCCTTCCCCACCCAGAGCATTTCTGCCATTTAATTTCCTTTAAGTGTCTGCTTAGACTAGAGCCTCTTCTCCCTCCCCTTCTATTTCTCTTCCAATCAGGACCTTTTGGACACTGGGTACTGTTAAATTCTTACTCTGTCAGGCTCAGGGGCCACGGTCAAGTAGGTCATTTAAATCTCCATTTAAATCTAGATGCCAGTTGTACAGGTGCCATCATCTTTCATTACAGGTAGGTCTGAGTGCTGCTTCAGTAGGCTTGCGTATTCATTTCCTTCACCTTTTCTGACTCATGTTCCAGGACCTGTTTGTGATAGAACAGTAAATACCCTTCACTGTCCAGTACATCTTTAATACTGGCCTTGGTGATGACAGCATCATCACACTTGAACCACTGGTCCCTGTGGTGCCGGATGAAGCTGGTGTAGTGGCCACTCTCCAAGGTTCCTTGGTGATTAACTACAGCAAACAAGGAATACTTATTCTCGTTGTTCCCACTATTAGTTGGCAGCTGCAACTGTCCATTCATTCGGCTCTCTTTACTTGAGGCCATAAATGGTGTCATATCCAGCTCCAGAGGAAAGGAAATATATGTAGTGATCTTGCGCCTCTGCTTGGCCGAGTGTTCAAACCGTTTGAAATGAAAACAGGCAACAACGGGTAACTTCTTCATCGTGAGCTGTTTGGTAGATTCTTGGTAGCTTTGACAACTACTACATTTGATTTTGGCACTGCTTCCTAAATGCTCTGGCCTTGTAAACCTTCGCAAGCAGTCTGTGAGGGTGGTAATGCCTGGTATGTGGCTTTCCCCATTCACACTACTCTCCCTCGCGGGACTCATGGGCCAAAAGGAGGTGCAAGAGCCAGGCAAGTCCAAACTGATGTCCCAGCATGGGTCTATAGTAGTGGAGACACCATGGCAGGCTTGACAGGTGACATCGGACTGCAGGCCACCTGTGAAGATTTGGTCTATGATGCAGTTACAGTGGTTGGGATTGTTGGCTGCCTTGCCAACATCATCACCTTTGCAGTGCCTGTGCAGGACATCTAGCGCTGCAATGAGGAACTCGTGGGCATCCTGTTGCCTGTATCCTGCTAAATGCCGAGCATGTATCCACACCAGGTGCAGTAACTTATAGGGAACATGTGGAGATGGGTTTCCAGAATACAGCTCCCGAAAGAGCGAAGACATCTCACAGACCAGACACAACTCAAGACTGGGCATTTCACAGCGGTGCCTGTCAGAGAGAAAGAAATCTCTCAGAATTGGAGTGTGGGTCAAGGCTTGGACAATGCAGTTCATAAAACACGTGTTGCCAAGATTAATTAGTCCTCTTAAGCCGATGGTAAAGCTGGAGGTGATTCTTCTCCTCCGTGGGTTGTGCCCCAGGAGTTCTAACTCAGGTTTGGTCGTTTCCCAGGTTGGGTATTTCTCACCAAGACCTGGCACTGAACATTGCTGGTGAGAAACCTCTGTCGAGGTGGTGGCTTGTAATTTCAAGGCTTCTCCTTGCTCTTCTTTGGCAATTTGCTCAATGTCTTTGTCATACACATAGTCCTTACACATGAAGCAGTATATACCTCCGTAGTAAAGATCTACTGCTAAGTTGTGTTGCTTTGTCTCAGCGTGCTCATGGATGTGTTTCTCTGTGAAGCAGCCAAAGAAGACACAGGAAAGGCAAGAGTGGAGTCTGTTCAAATGGGTGCCACACACATGGCAGATGCACGACTTTGCCTTGCTTTTCCTGGTCTCTGGGGTTCCACACCACACGAAGCACTGGTAGATGACCCGCAGGTCCTGCCTCCAGTTCTCTCCCACCTTAAAGCTGTTCACGTGGGAACAACCTGGTGGCCCCACAGCAAAATCCACATCCAGGCATCCGCCCCCAGGGCCGCGCCGGGGCCGGGGCCGGGGCCGGGGCGGGGGCCGTGGCCTAGGCTGCGGTGGGGTTCGGAGCCTGGTCTGGGGCCGGGGCCGGGGCCGGGGTCGGCGGCGCGGGGCACGGCTGCGACGAGGAGAGGGGTCGGGGGGACGCGGCGGATCGGAGGGAAGGGGGGGGGGAGGAA